GGGAGGATAACCAGCCCTTTAGTTTAGCTGCCTTGGACTGGTTTTCGTTATGTCATACTGGTTCCATTTCCTGCCAATGGACTCTGTTCTTACAGGTGTAAAGTTCTTGGTATATTGTTTTATGACATAAGTCTGCTTTAGGTATGTTCACACCCAGATCCGGGACTTCCTGCTGGATTCCTTGTTCTTCATGACGCCCTTTGATCATCGCTATCCTGTGACCTGAGTTTCCGCACCACGGGGAAGCAAAGGTGCTTCTTATCTTATCTTAACCAACCTGATTCATGCTAAGATTACATCACACATTAGAAGGTGGAGTCACACACTGATCGGCCTCTGAAAGCAAGCGGCTGCACTTTAACCGTTAAATAAAGGTGATGAATTGAACGCATTAAACTAAGAGGTATCATCTGTTTATTACCCACTCTGTTTGGTTTCATTACACAGCTCAGTTATGTCCCTTTTTAACATTTTTACTAATTTACATCCGTTTCCCTGCAGCGGTCCAACATCTGCTACCAGCGAGCCTCTCGCACCATCGTCCTGTAAATCCGTCAGGCGTGAGCGGCCATGTGCAGCTAGTCTATAAACATTAACAGAAAATGCAAACCCCTTTAACGACCCAACGAGAGCATCAACCCGTCACAGATGAGCACCACTACTTTCAAAACTGTAACAGATACCAGAGAAACAACGAATTACATCCATTACTGTTTTTTTTTTCTGCAGCACAGAGGAAAATCTAGAGCCTGCAGAAGTTTTAACATCAGTGGGCAGGTGAGAGAGGAGGGTGTGGGGATGTTTAAAACAGAGCTGGGTAATAAAACAATATCTAAAGCTGTGAAGGTCATAGAGCTTTAGATTGGTAGAGCATGGAGCCTCTAAACCAAAAAAGACATGGCCGTCCATTGACACAGACCGACAACTTTAATCATTACATTTTGATTGTTTTATTATTAAGAAAACATGTTAATGTTGGCAGTGGGCTTTAGGCTGCCCTGCAAGGATTTAAACCTGGGTTTAACCGGAGACTAAGCCATTCTCAAGCACATATCAAGGAGCTCATTTTGAGCCTGGATCCAGATTTATTGTTGATTCTGTTCATGG